TAGCAGTTTCACTGGCATCATTTGAGAACAATTTATTGCATGATTTTTTTGACCCCAAAATTTCATTAATTATCCTCCATCTGTGTTTTGTTCCAGATTGATTTTTTAATTTATTTTCAAAATATTTTTTTTCCGTGAATCTTTTGACATTTATAAATTTATTTTTAACCTTATTATATGCATTTTTATTTGCAGGGGATGGATTGTGTAGATGCCTTTTGTAAAGAACATTTTTATACAAGGAAAGATTATAAAGATCGATATTCATCCATGGCCTTCGGAAGCGATTTTTTTTATTCACCAATGGCAAAGCTAGATTGATGCAGTTTAAATAAGTCTTTAGGAATTTCTTAAAATTTGATTCAAAATCGGACCCGTAATCAGACATGTTCCACTGGATATTCTGTAATAAACAATTTGCTTTTTTTAGGTTCTCAGAATTAATCAAACGGGTTTTAATGTAAGGGTTTTTGCCACCGACAGCCTTAGCATTCAATGGTATGCAAAGAAAAATAGGTAAATGGTCAGAAACATCGCTGTATAGAATTCCTTTAGGGCAGCCGCCGATGCCATAATTAGTAAAAACATTATCGATCGTTGACGAATGGCTTGATGTTATTCTAGTCGGTTGGTTGATAATTGGATGCAAATTAAATTGAGCCATAAGATTTAAAAACGATAATGATGCCTGGTTTTTTACAGCCAAATCAATGTTAAAATCCCCAAGTATAAAAACATCACTACTGACATCGTCTTTTAAAAGTTCATATAAAAACTCCTGCATTTTAGATAAGAAATTATCCAATTTATAATTTGGTGGCCTATAAATACAAATGATTATATTTTTTTTATTGTCAGAAGCAAATTTAATTCCGACCCATTCAAACAGGTCGGAACTGAGAAAAATTACAATTTAAATTTTCGTACGCTAAGTTTTTATCAATTAAAAAACCAATACCCCCACCCCTTTTACCCACCCTATTTTTCGCAACTAGACTATGGCATGGAAAATACGATAGTATAGGGCCATAGTTAGTGTCATCATTTAGCCATGTTTCACTTAAAGCAACAATTTGAGGGATATTAACATATAATTGAAAACCATTAATCAACAGTGCCAAATCATCAGCATGCGCAGTCAAACTTCTGACATTTATATGCAGTAAAAATAAATTAGAGTTATTGTTAGCTGAAACATTTAAAAAATCGATAAGTTCACAGAAAACAAAATAATGACTAATGTTATTTGGCATATAGTATTCACAATTTACAATAGCATCCACATCATCAAAATTGTTCAACACACATGATCCATCAACATCCAAAACAATTGGCATAGTTTCATCCTCATCTGCATCATCCAC